AAATTCCGTCGACGAGTCTAATTCAAGATCTTCATCAATTACACTGAACAGACTTCGCAACTGGCACTTGATTAAGACAGTTCATTGAAACGTTTTAACTAGGGCTCTGTTCCTCGTTGTTTGGCATGTTGTTGCATCATGTGTACATACTCCTCTCCTGGGTATGTATGGATGATCTCTCCTCTGCGTCTTCGCGAAAGCGGAACAGTGGACAAGTATGGCATTGTTTGACATGACGAGGAACGGTGGAATGCATGGAATGCATACTCCCAGACAACTGTGGTAGCCATAGAGGTTTCTCTTGAACCACGCAACACTTCGCTAACGAGGCTCTCAAAGACTGAATTAAGCTAATTTTCGTTATGCTTTTAAGGCATATCCGCATAGGACAAGGACTCTTTGATGACTGCAACTCCGGGTGGCAGAATTTAGGCCACCGCCTATATTACAGAAAAAGGTATGACGCAATCATTTAGCACGTCTTCTCTTTTTGTGTTCAATTAAGAACGTCTGAATATTGGCCAGGCGGGTTGAACATTCAGAAGATGATGTCAGAAAATAGGCATGATGACGCTTGATCGATGACATCAAAGCGCTTGGAGACAATAATATCTCTCAGTCATCTAGTAGGTAACGATCAGGAAACTTCTAAGACATAAAGCGTGTCATGGCTTGCTGCACATTTGTATCCTCATTTTATGAATATCGGTCGACACCACTCATCAATGTGATTTGCAATCATGTCTCTTGATTCTTGCTGAAATAATTTTATTTACGTTCGACTTATTTTCATATTGATTGAACTCCTCTGCTGCTGGTCCATAACCCAAATAAAAACGAGGAGAGTCTGCGACTGTCGTGAGATCTCCCGTTAGGCTTAGCCACCTCATCCTCATGGTACTGCCGCTATCGAACGTCATACCGGCTCGGCCGTCGTCCGAGCTATTAAGGGCTCTGGAAAACTGAGGCAGAGGAAGTCAGTTTATCGCCTTCCGGAAACTGGTGACGAGCAGCACGATGACGGCTAGTGAACATCAACACGAAAATGACAAAAAACCAGTCAGCAACGGAGTCGCTTACCGTTCTCATCGGAGGAAGCAGAACGAACGAATCCACAACAGCATGTAGCATTGGGTTCCACAGAAACGACACTTATCGTGGAAGTTCACTGTCGAAATTTGAAACGTATCCTCACTCAGAGGGAAAGTACAGGATTGGGAATGTTTGAGACACACCGTCTGACATTTTTTCGACAGCGGACCAAAATGATAAGCAGTGATTGAAACTGATTTATTGTAAGGAGTTCGATCTTTCACACAGAATAAATACCCGATCAAGACCCCCTTCTTTAATTTAAGGAGCCATGCCAACAACGGTCAATCACATAATTTAAAGGTTTTTATTTTACATTCAGTTTGAAGCTTTATGGACGGACTTAATCTGAGTTGCACTTTAGCC